TCATCCATGCAGGTGTCCACACAAGTGCAACTGTTCACAAGAACAGGACCTAAGTCAGGACAGAATACTTTGATCCCAAGATGAGCATAACCAGAAAGTTAGGAAACTTTAGCTCACCCAAATCAAGTAGTTACAGCCTGGATCCACAAAGGTACTTAGGTGCCTAAGTCCCAGTTCCACAGTAATCCATAAAACTCCTGCTCAGCTGCTGTCTAACCCTGTAGGTGCCTAAACTCACTTAGTGCCTAAAGCTTTTGCAGTAAAAATTCCATCAGTGCCTATGTTCCTGCCTCTGAGCATGTGCATGATGCCTCCCTCTAGGCAGCCAGAGACCCGACCCATCTCCCGCCTAAGCACCAGAATGATATGTGAACCAGGGGAGGACGGGTGCTCCTCTATCTATCTTGTTTGATTTGGTATGTTGCTCATAGGCTGCCTCTCTCCCCACAGAATAGCTGGGGCAAGGGAGGATCTCCCATATAACCTTTAGCCCAGTGGTTAGGGTGCTCACTGGGGATATGGGAGACCCCTACTTCAGACCCACCACCCCACCTCCAAATGAGAAGGGATTTGAGGAGAGAGCTGCTACCTCTCAGGTGAATGACCTCACCCCTGGACAATGGGATATTCTGATATTCAGGCTCCCTCAATCTCTCCTATTGAAGTTGTTCCACATTAATTAAATAATTGATGGAATAAATAAATATGAATTTTGCCAGAGAAAGAGGGAGACTCTTTCTATGGTCTGATGGTTAAAGCACTCGCTTGAGAGATAGGAGATCCCTCTTCAAATCCCTTCTCCTCAGGCAAAGGGAGGACTTGAACCCATGCTTGTCCACTTTTCTGCTGAGTTCCCTAACCACTGGGCTAAAGGTTATAAGGGAGAACAGCCTTCCCTAGCTGTTGTGTATGGAGTTAGGCAGCTTCTGAGCCTGCCACCCTGACTCAGGCACCTATCTCGTGAAAAGGAGTGGTTCTCTCATTGGCTCCTGAGGCGGTTCCTGGTCTACTGTGCTGGCTTTTGTGGATCACATTTCAAGGCACCTACCTCTCCCAATTCATTATACAGGGAGTCTAGGTGCCTAACTAAGGCTTTGTGGATTGCAGTGTTATTCCTGTGATTTTTCTAGGTGCCTCAGAGTTAGATGTTGCAGCGCTGAGCACTGCAATGCCTAAGTCCCTTTTTGGCTCCAGGCCTTTGTATCTAGATTTCTCCTTCACATTGACTTGTTTGGGGGAATTGTAAAATTCAGTGTGTTCCTACTAGTTCCCATCATGTACTACATGGTGTAGGTTCCTAGCTTTAACCTTTCATACACCGCGACCACACAATGCTATCTTTTTTTCCTAAGGTGCCTGTCACAATGGTATCTAAGCACTGAATAAGTTACAGAGGGCATTGAGTGCCGTAATAGACAAAGAACAAGGTTTTCAAAAGGGACTTGTGATTGATTTTTGGGTACCTTAAAGGGGCTTTGTGTTCCAGAAAGTTCTGAACACATAACCTCTAAAAATCAAGTCCCTTTAAGATGTCTTAAAGTTCAGGAGCCAGAAGTCACTCGTCACTTCTGAAAATCATGGCCAGAATTCTCAAAGCTTCCTCTGTTCCTGGTGTACGAGCTTTTTGTTTTGTTTTTTTGTTTCCTCTTCATCCCTTTTTCTTTGTTTCCTTCTCTCCATTCTTCCCAGCTGTGGGTTACTCCTGCTTGAAGAAGAGGCCATCAGTGGGTGAAGATTAAAGCTCCTGTTGAAACCGAACTGTGTACGCCATAATGAGAACATGCTTTCTCCCAATGCATTTAGACTGTATATAGTAACTAATCCATTGCTATACAGAAAGTTTGGGGCAGCTCCTTACCTGGTGAAATCAGCATAGCTCTATTGACTGTAATAAAGCTGCACCGGCTGAGAGTCCGGACCTCAGTGTTTGTCATTCTAATGCAAACCAGGGCCACTCAGAGCCAGCCAGAGACATCAGCCAGTAAGAGCAGAAGCAAGCAAAGCAGGGACTGGATGGAGGGGGTAAAATGGGGGCTAACTGGGCCACCTCTACCCCCAGCACCCAGAACTGTGCAGGCTTGAAAGACTTCCCCTGCCCCGCACTCTGAGGGAAGTCCAGCCAGTAGGAGCAGAATCAGCTAAAGCAGAGACCTTTGGACACTTAGAGAGCTTTCCACAGTTTTGACTGAACTTTCTCTGCTCTGTGCTGTTTGGCTGCTTGCTCCAAACCTCCAAGTCTCTTCACTTCAGATTCACTCTACTACCCCTCTTCCTTTCTTCTCCCCTGCTGTGCCCTCTTCCCCCTCCCTTTTATTTCCATTTAGCATAAACGCTCTCCACACACAAAATTGTGGAACTGACATGACATTTGGTGCCATCACATTGTTCACTCAGCTTGTGTGTTCCACCCCTTCTACCACCACATGTCTGTCTTGTTTATTGATATTGTAAGCTCTTTGGGGTAGGGACTGTGTACTATTCTGTATTTGTACAGTGCCTAGCACAATGAGGCACCACTCTTGGGGTTGGCCCCTAGACACTGCTATCATAAACATATTAAATAATAAATAAACTCATAACTCCATGGTGGGAGCAGAGGTAGAGGCCTTAAACAACTGAGGTACAGAATTTCCTTTAATTATTACCAGTATAGAGGCTATAACACTGTCATAAATATAAAGGGAAGGGTAAACCCCTTTGAAATCCCTCCTGGCCAGGGGAAAGCTCCTCTCACCTGTAAAGGGTTAAGAAGCTAAAGGAAACTCGCTGGCACCTGACCAAAATGACCAATGAGGAGACAAGATACTTTCAAAAGCTGGGAGGAGGGAGAGAAACAAAGGGTCTGTGGGTCTGTCTGTATTCTGTCTTTGTCAGGGATAGACCAGGAATGGAGTCTTAGAACTTTTAGTAAGTAATCTAGCTAGGTACGTGTTAGATTATGATTTCTTTAAATGCCTGAGAAAAGAACTGTGCTGAATAGAATAACTATTTCTGTCTGTGTATCTTTTTTGTAACTTAAGGTTTTGCCTAGAGGGGTTCTCTATGTTTTGAATCTAATTACCCTGTAAGGTATCTACCATCCTGATTTTACAGGGAGGATTTCTTTATTTCTATTTACTTCTATTTTTATTAAAAGTCTTCTTGTAAGAAAACTGCATACTTTTTCATTGTTCTCAGATCCAAGGGTTTGGGTCTGTGGTCACCTATGCAAATTGGTGAGGCTTTTTATCCAACATTTCCCAGGAAAGGGGGGGTACAAGTGTTGGGAGGATTGTTCATTGTTCTTAAGATCCAAGGGTCTGGGTCTGTAGTCACCTAGGCAAATTGGTGAGGCTTTTTACCAAACCTTGTCCAGGAAGTGGGGTGCAAGGTTTTGGGAAGTATTTTGGGGGGAAAGACGCGTCCAAACAGCTCTTCCCCAGTAACCAGTATTAGTTTGGTGGTGGTAGCGGCCAATCCAAGGACAAAGGGTGGAATATTTTGTACCTTGGGGAAGTTTTGACCTAAGCTGGTAAAGATAAGCTTAAGAGGTTTTTCATGCAGGTCCCCACATCTGTACCCTAGAGTTCAGAGTGGGGGAGGAACCTTGACAAACACACAGGTGTGTAGTTCTAATTTTTTCCTGTAAAGGAGCATCATATACATACGTACTAGTCAATTCCTTATCATTGATACAATTTAGTAATGGAGATCATGGCAGTCATGGATTCTGTGACTTTACCAGACCTCCGTGACTTCTTCAGCTTCAGCTGTCAGCGCCTGCTGACACCGGGGCCAGAACCAGGGCTGACACCGGGGCCAGAACCAGGGCTGTGCACTGTACCCTCCCTCTCCCTCCGGCACAGCTGCTCCCGTGGCTGCAGTCGGCACCGGAGCCTGGACTGTGTGCCCCTGTCCCACAGCTTTGGGGCTGTGCCTCCTCCCCATGGCAGTGGGGCTTGGGTTGTCAGTCTCCCCTATGGGGCTCCAGCTATCATCCCCTCCCCCTACCAGTTCTGCTGCCCGGTTACAGGCACAGGTCACAGGCTCTCATGAATTTTTGTTTACTGCTTGTGACCTGGCCATGATTTTAACTAAAAGTAACCGTGACAAAATCTTAACCTTCCTTATCACACTTGTGAATTGTTCATCCATCATTGATGTGCAGCAGCTTCTGAGATGAATCAGAGCAGCAAAGCTAAACAAGTTTAGAACAGAAATTGAATAATACCTTCTGCAGATCAGCCAAAAGGGGGAATTTAATTTATAATTACCCATGCTTAAATTTAATTGTGGCACTTGGAACAAAACTCCTACTTAGGAGAGAGACACTGAATCGCTAACCCTCAAGATAGTGGCTAATTTTAGAATGTAAAACACCTTCAGGACTACCCATTTACTTAAGAAATTCAGGGGGTTACCACAGCATGGTGGAGGTGGAGTAGGGCAAAGGACCAGTGAGTGGGTGGTGGAGGAGAAAAAACCACTGATTCATAGAGTCCAGGGTTGGAGGGGACCATTGTGATCATCTAGTCTGATCTCATGTATAGCACAGGCAATAGACCTTCCCCAAAATAATTTCTTTTGAACTAGAGTATATCTTTTAAAAAAAAAAATCCAATCTTGATTTAAAATTTGTCAGTGATGAAGAATCCACCTAACATCTCCTCCTCCAGTAATCAGGCCCTGCTTTACCCGGCTGCCCCATCTCTTGCCAGGAGCCAGCAGCAGTCCAGTGACAGCAGAATAAGCTATGATGGGGAGAAGCTGGCACAAACATAAAAACATAAGAATTGCCAGATTAGATTAGACCAGACCACTGATTCACCTTGTCCAGCATCCTGCTCATGAGTGATCAGCATCAAGTGCTTCATGGAAAGGTGCAAGGAACCCTACAGTAGGTAGTTATAGAATAAGGAAATTTGATTAGAAATTTTTGTCCTAACCCACAGTGACTAGAGGTTGGCTTATGCCCTGACACATGAGATCAGTTCCAAAACTCTTTGCTTTTGTTTTTTTAGCAGTTTTTGTAACACTGGGTGCAACTTTGTACAGCTCTGTGCAAGCTCTGAAGGTGCAAGCAGAGGCAGGTGAGTGGTGACAGGCTAGCTCACTGAGAGGGAGGGCTCTTTTCTAGTGGTCATGGGGAAAGAGGCTACACTGAGCAGCTGAGAGGGAGTGGAAGAAACAGGGAGAAGGGACTGCTGCACGCAGGGATACAGAGGAGGAGAGAGACAGCAGTATAGCTAACTCACTCCCCTCCCTCACCATAGCACCCTAAGGATGAGCGTGTGTTTTAATGGTCGATGACCACAATTGTTTGGGAACTTGAATATACCTTTCTGAAAGAGAGCACCTCTAGGATTACAGCACGCTTAAGCACCATGCTGGGATTCTAGTTCAGTAGTGGCTGTAAAGTGCCACCTACTAACGTGCGAGCACCACTTTTTGCAGCACCTAGATTTTGCCTTGACAGTCTCCCATCCCAGAACAGGCTAGGCCCACCCTAAGTAGGTTGTGAGGTCCAACACGCAATCAATGGCTGTAGGTAATTTAGGCCCTGCACTGTGTTTTCCTCTACTAGACAGTACACAAAAGTTAACCAGTAACCTCTGTTCTTCTTTGAGTGCTTGTTCATGTCAATTCCACGGGCACGGTAGCAGGAAGATTTTTTCCATAGCAGCATCCATCGGGTCGGCCTGGGCGCCCCCTGGAGTCATGACTCCATGGTGCTCAATATAGGGCCCTGCCGAACCTCCACTCCCTCAGTTCCTTCTTGCCACCAGTGACGGTTAGCTGGAACGTCCCATAGCCCTTGCTTAAGCAATTGCCTCTATCTTTGTCATTTGTATATAGTTGGTCGTTAGTTTAGAGTTAGTTGGGGGTCTCACCCCCGCTTCTGAATCCCCAGAGCCATGGTATGCTGTGGTCCCCTGTGAGGTCTGCACTAAGTGCATGCCAAAGAGCGACCCTCATGCCTCTTGTTTAAGGTGCCTAGGAGAAGGTCACCAAAAGGACTGTTGTAAAATCTGCTGTGAGCTGCATTCCAGAATTCTTAAAGAAAGGGAACAGCGACTTAAAGTGCTACTTATGGAGGCAGCTCTCTGCCCCTAGTTGGATCCGGGGTCAGGGGACCCCGCTCCCAGCATGTCCTCATGGATGTGGAGCGCCCCAGCACCATCATCCTGGGAACTGGTGCTGAAAAAGGACTCTTCCCGAGATGCTCGGCACCGGAATGGCTCCTCCCGCAACCACTCAGCAGGTAGGCACCGGTCTCACACACCGGTGGCTTAGAAGAAAAAGAAGCCGGAGAGGGTTCATTCTCCCTGAGCTGAATCCAAGGAGCCGATGACTGTGAGATCCCAGTCGGGCCACAGCACTAGATCCCCGGGCAGGGCCATGTCGACTCCTGTTGACTCGAGGCCCGCCATGCACGCCGGACCCTAGTGGCCAGCAACTGCCACTCCCCTCAACTCTGGAGGCTTTTGCAGCGGCTCAGGACTTGCTGACTCCTTGCTCAGGACTCCTCCCCCTAGGATGGAGGACACACCAGCACCTTCGGCACCACCCCACCCCACAGGTGCAATTAAGAGGGAAGCCGGCAATGATGTCCCAGTGCTCTCCTTTTCCACAGCACCCTCCGACACCAGCTCCTCCAGAGAGAACCCAGTCGGTTCCCAAGCTCCCAATGATTGGTGCCCTGAAGTACGGCTCCTCTGTGGTCTTCCTTTTTGGAGACCTCGGAGTCAGAGTCTGACTTCTACTCCTACCACTCCAATAGGAGCAGGAGCCAGGAAGTCCAGGTCCGCAGTGCAAGAGACGGGCTTACCCAGCATCGTGGCTGCCGCAATGGCAGAATCCATCATAGTGGCCCTTCTGGACTCCCTGGGCCTTCCACCAGAGCCAGACTTTGGTAGTTTGGCCACCTTTATTCCGCCTTCAGCCGAATGACCAGCCACTGAGCCGCCACCACCTACGTCAATGGCTTCAGCACTGAGGTCAGCTTCAGCACCATTAGTGGCATCGGCACTGACGTTGGCTTCAGCACCATCGTGGCACCGTCTGAGGTTCCAATACTGATTTTGACACTGAGTTCGGAGCCGACAGCCCCAACACCGAGGGGCATGGCACCGTCAGTGTCGGCACCTGCTTGGGACCCCCAAGAGTCATGGGACCCCTTGGGTGCGGACAGCAGGGAGCAGCCACCTTTCATGGGGGCCGCCTCCTCGTCGCCGGACAAGGCGCTGGCAGGCACTGCCATAGCCCTGGCGCTTGAAGACAGCAGGGTGTTACAGCATCTGCTGCACCAAGTTTCCCAGGGTCTGGACATCAAGGCAGAGGAGGTAGTCGAGGATTCTGATCCCAAGGTGGATATCCTCACGCCCTCTGGACCTTCTCGTATTGCCCTGCTGCTCATAAAAACCATCGTTGACACAAGCAAGACCCTGGTCTGAAACAGGCCATTTGAAGGTGCAGTTGAGGATGGCGCATCAGAGCGAGATCTGGATCCACCCCGCCTTACCTTTTTGTCCCGACTATCCCCTTTCTACCCTGCATGGTCCCATATTACTTCAGACCACTGAGTGCTCCACACAATGGAGAGGGGAAACTCCATCCAATTCTGTGCTCTCCTGCCCTTCCACCCTCTTTTCTCAACTCTTTTCAGGGACCCCTCTCATGAGCAGGGGCGGTGGAAGAGGATCCTCAGGAGCAGAAGGGTAAGGGCTTCTATTCCCAGTATTTCCTAATACCGAAAGCCAAGGGCGGACTCAGGCTCAGGCTCATCCTAGACCTGCAAGAACTCAACAGGTTTGTGAAGAAATTCAAGTTCTGCATGGTCTCCCTGGCCTCCGTCATCCCTTCATTGGATCCAGGAGACTGGTATGCCACCCTCGACTTGAAGGATGCATATTTTCACATAGCAGTAACTCCGTCCCACAGAAAATACCTCAGGTTTGTGGTGAACAGTACCCACTACCAGTTCACAGTCCTCCCATTCGGCCTGTCAGCAGCATCTTGAGTGTTCACCAAGTGCATGGCAGTCATGGCCACGTTCCTGCGCAGGCGACACGTACAGGTGTTCCCGTACCTCGACAACTGGCTGATCAAGGGCCGATCCAGGACTCAAGTGGAGATGCAAGTCACCTTCATAAGAGCATCTTTCCACAAGTTGGGCCTTCTGCTGAATGAGGGGAAATCAACACTGTCCCCAGTTCAGAGGATAGAGTTTGTGGGGGAGGTACTGGACTCAACACAGACCATGGCATTTCTTTGGGAAGCAAGATTTTGAGCCCTTGGCAACATCATTCGAGGTCTCAGGCAGTTCCCCACTACCACAGCAAGGAATTGCGTGAAACTTTTAGGACACATGGCTGCTTGTACCTACGTAGTACAACATGCCAGACTCAGACTTCAACCTCTTCAGTCGTGGCTAGTGTCAGTGTATCGGCCAGTCCGGGACAGCTTGGACAGGATCGTAACCCTGTCTCGCCCGGTACTTGACTCCCTCCTGTGATGGCTCAACCCACAGGTAGTAGGTGCAGGGGTCCCCTTCACCAGCCCTCAGCCGTCGCTCTCACTAGTGATGGATGGGTCAGCCTTGGGCTGGGAAGCACGTTTGGGAGACCTTAGGATACAAGGCCTCTGGTCTCAGGCAAAACTCGCTCTCCAAATCAATGTCAGAGAGATGAGAGTGGTATGCCTGGCATGCCAGACTTTGACAGGGAGATGTGTATCACTTATGACAGACAACACCACAGCGATGTTTTATATCAACAAACAGGGTGGGGGGAGGGTGCACATGCCTCTCCCCTGTGCCAGGAAGCCCTCATGCTGTGGGACTTCTACGTAGAGCATTCAATACACCTGCAAGCATCGTACCTCCCCAGAGTACAGAACAAGTTGATGGACTATCTCAGCAGGTCGTTCTGCGGCCACGAATGGTCCCTTCACCCGGATGTTGTGAACTCAGGGGCTTTCCCCAGATTAGACCTGTTAGCCACGCGACGCAACAGGAAGTGCCAGCAGTTTTGCTCTTTCCTGAATCTCAGCCCGGGTTCCATCACGGACGCGTTCCTCCTCCCATGGGGAAGCCATCTCTTATATGCGTTTCTGCCTCTCCCTTTCATTCAAGGTGTGGAGGGAGCAAGCTTCGGTGATGTTGATAGCTCCAGCCTGGTCCCGCCAGCACTGGTACATATCACTCCTGGAAATGTCCATGGAAGCTCCAGTCACCCTGCCGCTCTTCCTGAACTTATTAACTCAGGATCACAGCCATCTCCAACACCTGAACCTCGAGTCACTGCACTTCACAGCATGGAAGCTCCATGGCTGAGTCTGACGAAGCTTTCTTGCTTGGATCAGGTTAGACAAGTCCTCCTTGGCAGCAGGAAGCCCTCCATGAGGGCTACCTACCTTGCCAAGTAGAAGAGATTTTCAATCTGGTCAGCGCAGCACCGTTCGTCCCCAACGCTCACCTCTGTGCCACTTATACTGGACTGTCTTCTCCATCTCAAGCAGCAGGGACTGTCCATGTCGTCAATAAGGGATCACTTGGCCGCCATCTCTGCCTTCCACTCAGACGCAGGGGGCCACTTAGTCTTTGCTAACCCTGTGGTTAGCTATTTCCTTAAAGGTCTCGACAGGCTATATCCGCATGTCCGACAGCCTGTCCCGGTTTGGGACCTCAATCTGGTCCTTTCCAGACTCATGGAACCGCCCTTTGAACCTTTGGCGACGAGCTCCCTACTCTGTCTCTCATACAAGGTGGCGTTTCTGGTAGCGATAACCTCAGCCAGGAGGGTGTTTGAGCTCAAGACCCTAACATCAGAGCCCCTTTATACTGTGTTCTCTAAGGACAAGGTTCGGCTCAGGCCTCACCCAACTTCCCTCCCCCAGAAGGTTGTCTCCCAGTTTCACATCAACCAGGACATCTTCCTCCCTGTATTCTATCCTAAGCCACACTCCAGCGGCAGGGAGCAGAGGCTTTGCTCTTTAGATGTCCACAGAGCGCTAGCCTTCTACATCGAGAGAACGAAGCCATTCTGGAAGTCTGTCCAGTTATTTGTGGCAGTGGTGGACAGAATGAAAG